TTGCGCTATAAAAAAAAAAGCATCAATTTTGAGAAAAAAAAAACAATATTTTTTGACTTTTTGCTATTTTTGATTATAATTAGTAGCTCACAAGTGATTTAGGAATTTCTTTAAATGTCCAGTAAACAAATTTAAAATATCACATTTCGTCATAAATTAAGGCCAAAATGTATTCTGCTCCATGTCTTTGCTGAAAAAAATCCCAATACGTGTAAATTAATTGGTTTACGTGAAAGTTATAGTGTTTACAAATGGTGGTATAGATACTGGGATTTTTTTTTTATTTTTTAATTTGTACTAATAATGGCAGCAGTGACTTATAGCGGGACTGCAACGGGCATTCTGACACTGGGGGGAACTGACTTGGTGTCACTGACATCCCAAGTGACACCAATACAGTGATCAGTGCTAAACAAAATGCACTGACACTGCACTAATGGCACTGGACAGAAAGGGGTTAACATGAGGGGTGAACAAAGGGTTAACTGTGTGTTAACCACTTCCCGACCGGTCATTGTATATAAACGGCCGGATGTGGCAGTGCAGGGTCGGGTGGCCGTTTATGAACGGCCTCCCCGCACCCTGCTTGTGCACGCTCCCCGGGAGCGCGCAGCACCGCGATCCGGTGCCCCGCTGTGTCCTACGGACACAGTGAAACACCGATAGTCGGACGGGACCTCTGTACGAGGTCCCGATCAATGTGATCACTGATTGGCCAATCAGTGATCACATGCAAAGTAGTAAGCAAGATGTCACTTCTGACATCATTGCTTACTACGTGTGAAATCTGTGAATGATCACAGAGGTCACATGGTACAGGGCCATTCACAACAGCCTTGTACCCATGTGACAAGGTGTGACCAATCACAGCTCACTCAGTACTTCTCAATGAGTGCAGGAATGCACACAGAGAGAAAGAGAAATGATTGCTTTTACAGTTGCAAGAAAAAGTATGTGAACCCCTTGGGATTACGTGGAGTTTTGCATGAATTGGGCATAAAATGTGCTCTGAACGGCATCTAAGTCACAACAATAGAAGAACACAGTCTGCTGAAGATAATACTACACAAATATTAGATGTTGCCATGGTTTAATTGCACATAACATGTAAACATTCACAGTGCAGGGAGGAAAAAGTATGTGAGGCCCTAGCTTAATGACTTCTCCCAGAGATAATTGGAGCCAGGAGTGAGCCAACTTTGACTCCAATCAGTGTGATGATATTGGATGTGTTGCTGACAGCTGTCCTGCCCTTAAAAAACACACACCTGTTTTGGGTTTACTGGTTTCAAGAAGCACTGTCTGATGTGAACCATGCCTCGCAGAAAAGAGCTCTCAGAAGACCTACGATCAAGAATTGCTGACTTGCATGAAGCTGGAAAGGGTTACAAAAGTATCTCCTTGAGCCTTGATGTTCATGTGTCCACGGTAAGACAGACTGTCTACAAATGGAGAAAGTCTAGCACTGTTGCTGCTCTCCCTAGGCGCGGTCGTCCTGTAAAAATGACTGCAAGAGCACAGCGCAGAATGCTGCATGAGGTAAAGAAGAATCCCAGAGTGTCAGCTAAAGACCTACAGAAATCTCTGGCACATACTAACATTTTTGTTGACACATCTACAATAAGGAAAACATGAAACAAGAATGGAGTACATGGGAGGACACCCACGGAGGAAGCCATTGCTGTCCAAAAAGAATATTGCAGCACGTTTGAAGTTTGCAAAAGAGCACCTGGATGTTCCACAGCACTACTGGCAAAATATACTGTGGACAGATGAAACCAAGATTGAGTTGTTTGGGAAGAACACACAACACTATGTGTGGAGAAAAAAAGGCACAGCACACCAACATCAAAACCTCATCCCCACTGTGAAACATGGCGGAGGGAGCATCATGGTTTGGGGCTGCTTTGCTGCCCCAGGGCCTGGATGGATTGTTGTCATTGATGGGAAAATGAATTCCAGAGTTTATCAAGACATTTTGCAGGAAAACGTACGACCACCTGTCCCTGCCAACTGAAGCTCTGCAGAGGATGGGTGAGGCAACAGGACAATGACCCAAAGCATACAAGTAATTCAACAAAACAATGGCTGCAACAGCACAGAATACGCCTTCTGGAGTGGCCCAGTCAGAGTCCTGACCTCAACCCGATTGAAATGCTGTGGCATGACCTTAAGAGAGCGATTCACACCAGACATCCCAAGAATATTGCTACACTGAAACAGTTTTGTGAAGAGGAGTGGTCCAAAATGACTCCAGATCATTGTGCAGGTCTGATCTGCAACTACAGGAAACGTTTGGTTGAGGTTATTGCTGCCAAAGGAGGGTCAACCAGTTATTAAGTCCAAAGGTTCACATACTTTTTTCCTCCCTGCACTGTGAATGTTTACATGTTATGTGCAATTAAACCATGGCAACATCTAATGTTTGTGTAGTATTATGTTCAGCAGACTGTGTTCTTCTATTGTTTGTGACTTAGATGACGTTCAGAGCACATTTTATGCCCAATTCATGCAAAACCTCCACGTAATCCCAAGGGGTTCACATACTTTTTCTTGCAACTGTACATCCTATATGGGTGTAAAAGCAATCAGTGTAAAAAAAAAATCTTCATCCCCCCACAAGTAGTACAGTGTCACCATGGACAAATAAAAAATAATAATATAAAAAAAATAAAATAAAAATGTAAAAACAAATGTTTAAAAATTATAATTTTTGGTTATAAACTAATTTTTTTTTTTTTTTTTTACTAAAAAGATAACGGAATAAATTTTGGCAAAGATTTATGATGAAATATTTATTTGCAAAATTTTATAAAAAAAACACTTTTGTTCAAAATTTTTGGACTTTTTCATTTACATAGCAAAAAAAAAATAAAAATTGCAGCGGTAAATAAATACCACCAAAATAAAGTTTTATCTGTCTCAAAAACATGGTAAAAAATGTATTTGGGTACAGTGTTGCATGACCGCGCAATTGTCATTCAAAGTGTGATAGCGCTGAAAGCTGAAAATTGCCTTGGTCAGGAAGGGGGTAAAAGTGTCCAGTCTGGAAGTGGTTAAGGAGTGTTTTACTAGGGGTAGGGGTGGTGTCCTTCACTGTAATCACACTGCTGTGGATGGCTGTGCTGTGCAGTGTGCCTGAGCTGACAGGGAGGAGGACTGTTAGTAAACAAAACAGTCCTCCTCCCTGTCGGAGATCATCAGAAACCGGCGGGTGCCGGCGAGTAATTACTGTAATTACTGATTGACAGCAGCGCCGCCCCCCTACCCGGAAAGGCAGAATCATTTGTGCACCCGTGTCACCCTGTAGCAGTATTTCTGCTATAGCGCGGTCAGGAAGTGGTTAATATCAATCAGTGTTTGGATGATTCAATTATAATTAGTATATAACTTAAAGCTGAACCCCAAGGATGGCAAAATTTGGGACCTTTGCAGTGGGTCCCAATCCCAATGTAAGGGTTAGCTGCCTGTTTGGCCTCAGGGATGAAGAGTAAAGTTAAATGCTTATTTTATTCTTCGCTTTCTCAAGCTTCCTCCTCTTTTGTCCCCTGAAGCTTTTTCTCTTTGCTGGCCGACCAATCACACCTCTGTGATATCATCCCATACAATGTAGGACCGTCGGTCCTGCGTTGGGTAGGAGGCCGCTGAGGGTCCGTCCTCAACTCAGGAGCGTCAGACAGCAGAGGAGAGCTCCAGCTTCTGAGAAATGAGGAATAAGTTGGGTATATTACTTCATGTATCCTCCCCTATGCAAATGAGCAGTTAACCCCTGCAGTGGGAAAGGGAACCTACTTCACGGAGAAAAATGTTTTATTTCTTAGCTCAACTGGTATAGTTAAAGTTGTCGCAAAATTATTGTAAAGGTTGACATTTTAAATAACCAACATGTTATACTTACCCGCTCTCTGTAATGGATTTGCACAGAGCAGCCCTAATCCTCCTCTTTTGGGGTCGCCCGCCAGCTCTCTTGGCACCTGCCCCCCCTGCCAAGTGCCCTATGGGGGCTCTCCTGCGTGCTCACTCCTGAGCTGGTGATGATTGTCAATGAGACACACATAGCTTGGCTCAGCCCTGCCCTCACTCCCACCTCACTGGATGTGATTGACATTGCCTCCCACTGCTGTGTATGAGCCAATGAGGAGGCAGAGAGCCGAGAGAGCCGCTGCTCTCATGAACATCGCTAAATCAAGATTGGGCTCAGGTATGTATAAGAGGGGCTGGTGGGTGAAGCTGCATGCAGAAGGTTTCTTACCTTAACGTGGCTCTAAAGCCAGAAGGTTTTTAGAATAGAATAGAATGCATTATGGTAAAAAAATTCTGGGTGCAGCTCTACCCCACCCCCCTTATACTCACTTGAGTCCCATCTTGATCCAGCATTGTACATGCAGTAGCTTTCTTGGATCTCTTTCTCCTCATTGGCTCCTATTGCTGTCAATCACAGCTTGTGAGCGAATGAGGAGAAAGCAGGGGACGGGCCGAGCCATGCTAGGTATGTGAATGGATAATGTCCATTTACATGAGTGTGGCTCAGGAGCGAGCCTGCTTGAGTGCCTCCATAGCAAGATGCTTGCTATTTGGGGAACATGGCAAGGGGGAAGAGCCAGGACTGCCGGCGGGGGACTCAAAAAGAAGAGGATCAGAGCTGCTCTGTGAAAAACAATTAAAGAGCAGGGAAGTAAAACATTATTTTTTTTAAAAAAGGGACAATTTTTATAATCAGTTTAATGCAGAGAATGCATTAAGATATAAAAAAGCCTTCTGCCATTAGAACCACTTTCATTTTAGTGCACACAATATATTACCCAAGTTTCCAGAAAAATAGTAAACTACATCAAGTAAATAGATACCCAACACGTCAAATCTTAAAATTGCAGGCACCTGTGAAATGGGAAAAAAACTTGGGGACCCAAAATTGCCCATGAGCAACACTTTAAACTGCTTGCCCGTCGCCCTATAGCAGAAATACTGCTACTGGGTGGCACAAAATCACGTATATACACATGATTTTGCATTTCCGGGTAGGGGGGCATGCGCCACGAGCACCCTACCCGTGCTGCCATTGGAGGTTTCAGCTGTTGATTACCGGGTCCCAGTCGGAGATTCCCCGCCTGCAACCAGCGTATCACTGACGAGGGAGACAACACAGATCTCTCCCTGTCAGCACCAGCATACTGCTTTGTATGTCTCTGCATAGCAGCATGCTTACACTGTAAAACACAACACACAGCACACAGTTAACCCTTTGATGACCCCAGATGTTAACCCCTTCCTGCCCAGTGCTATTAGTACAGTATCAGTGGTTTTTTTTTAGCACTGATCACTGTATTGGTGTCACCGGAGATGTCAGTGGCTGTTAGTTCCCCCCAGTGTCAGAATGTCTGTCGCAGTCCCGCTATAAGTCACTGTTCTCCGCCATTACTATTATAAAAAAAAAATCTAGTATACGGTATATGCAATAATGAGCCAATGGAGCCACAATCTCTCCAGCATAAAGGTGACTGTGAGTAATAAAATTAGGTCAACATATATGGTGTAAGATACCAATGTCAAGTCGTTTTTAGGATTTTACATTTTGACCATAATACTGTGTAAAGAATATGCAAAGCACTGATCTGCTTCCTTTGTGTGAAATCCCTGGTGTTCCTGGCAGATCCTCTCAGTTTCTATTAAAAACTGACCACACTAGGCATGAGAGCACAGTGTGGTCAGTTTTCTAACTGTGATGGGAACTCAACCTGCTCTCTACCAATGGTCAGATTTATCCTGACAGCCTCCCCCCCACACACACACACACAGCCATTCAGTGTACTGCTGTTTCTGATCCCCCAGCTCTCTGAGCTCCTTATGCAGCTGAGAACAGAAATTTTGTGATCCCTTATAATAAAAAAGGGGATAAAGAGGTATTTATAATGGTTATTTTTTTATATCAATACACAAATGTGTTGCCTTTGTTTCCTATTTTAAAATGAATAGGTTGTTTTATAAGGTAAAGGTTCACATGTACTTTAACAGCTTTTCTGCCACCTCATAGCAGACATACTGCTACAGGGCAGCAGGGCTGCACAGAATCACGTATATATACATGATTTTGCATTTCTGGGTAGTGGTCATTGGTGGCCTTACCTGTCGATAACCAGGTCCCAGCCGGTGATTCCCCGCCGGCACCAACAAGGGAGAGACCTGTATGTAAACAATACAGAACTCTCCCCTGTCTGCTCCTTCACACTGCTTTGTATGGCTCTGCATAGCAACATGCTTACACAGTAAAGCACACACAGCACACAGTTAACCCTTTGATCTGCCCAGATGTTAACCCCTTCCTGTCCAGTGCCATTAGTACAGTGTCAGTGCTTTTTATTAGCACTGATCACTGTATTGGTGTCACTGGGGATGTCAGTGACAGTTAGGCAGTTCCCCCCTCAGTGTCAGAATGCCCGCCACAGTCCCGCTATAAGTCGCTGATCACCGCCATTACTAGTATAAAAAAAAAAAAATCCCAACATCTATACCACCATTTGTAGATGCTATAATTTTCACGTAAACCAAATAATAGACAATTATTGTATTTTTTTAGCAAAAACATGTAGCAGTTTTTAATTAGCCTAAATTTATAATGAAATTTGATTTTTAAAATTTTCTTACTGGACATGTTTAGTAGCAAAAGTCAAAAATATTGTTTTTTTCTCAAAATTGTTGGTCTACTGTCTATTTTTTTTTTTATACCTCAAAAATAAAAAGCAGAGGTGATCAAATACCACCAAAAGAAAGCTCTATTTGTGGGAAAAAAAGGACGCAAATTTAATTTGGGTGCAGTGTTGCATGACCGCACAACTGTCAAAGTAACACAGCACCATATCGCAAAAAATGGCCTGGTCAGGAAGGGGGGTAAATCCTCTGGGGAGCAAGGGGTTAATAAGATTGAAAATGACCTAACATGTTAACACTTATATGGAAAGTTAGTGATTGGATTTCATGTACTCTATTCAGACTGTTGATATTGGTAATGTGGGGTTTTGCCACGCATTACCCCATTGCACCAAAAACACATGGCATTTACTGTGGTGCATTGCAGTACCATTCATTTTGAATAGCACCCAATGCAAATAGACACAGTGTGGGCAAACTGTGGGCCTCCAGTTGTTAAAGAACTACATGTCCCATGAGGCTTTGCAGGACTGACAGCCACAAGTGTAACTCCCAGAGGCAGAGGCATGATTAAACTTGGAGTTCTGCAACAGCTGGAGGCCTGCAGATTGCTTACCCCAGACAGTAGAGCTCAACACACAAGCATTTTAGTTCACCAAAACACTCAAATGAGAACCAACTGCACCTTATGCTGCACTGCAACAAAAAAAGCATTATAAGTTGCACTATGGAGTGTAACTGAGCCGATTCAGTCAAAGTGCATGTGAGTTTCTGCTGGCTGTAATGAAAGTGATATGGCTAGAAGTCTGTCCTCATATGTACGGCTCAAAAAAAAGTGAAAGGAAAACTTTGAAAACCCATCAGATCTCAATAGGGAGAAATCTCCTGCTGGATCTCTATACTGACATGGACGGGGGATGTGTGAGGAATGTAAGAATGCCCCATCGTTTGATGGAAATGAAAATGATCGACCTACAGAGGACTGAATTCAAAGACACCCCGAAAAGTGAAGAAATGATACAGCAGACGAGTCCATTTGGCTGAAATGTAATTGCAGCAACTCAGAATGGTCCTCAGTAGTTTGTATGGCCCCCACGTGCTTGTATGCATGCCTGACAACGTCGGGGGAGGCTCCTAATGAGACCACGGATGGTGTCCTGGGAGATTTCCTCCAAGATCTGGACCAGGGCATCACTGAGCTCCTGGAAAGTCTGAGGTGCAACCTGGCAGCATTGGATGGACCGCAACATGACATCCTAGAGGTGTTTCTATTGGATTTAGGTCAGGTGAGCGTGGGGGCCATTCAATGGTATCAATTCCTTCATTCTCCAGGAACTGCCTGCATACTCTCCCCACATTAGGCCAGGCATTGTCGTGCACCAGGAGGAACCGAGGACCTACTGCACCAGCATAGGGTCTGACAATGGGTCCAAAGATTTCATCCCGATGCTTAATGGCCATCAGGGTGCCATTGTTTAGCCTGTCGAGGTCTGTGTGTCCATCCATGGATAAGCCTCCACAGACCATCACTGACACACCACCAAAACCGTTATGCTGAACGATGTTACAGGCAGCAGAACGTCCTCCACGGCTTCTCCAGACCCTTTCAAGTCTGTCACATGTGCTCAGGGTGAACCTGCTCTCATCTGTAGAAAGCACAGGGCACCAGTGGTGCACCTACCAATTTTGGTGTTCAATGGCAAATGCCAATTGAGCTCTATAGTGCCGGGCAGTGAGCACAGGGCCCCCTAGAGTACGTCGGGCCCTCAGGCCACCCTCATGAAGTCTGTTTCTGATTGGTCAGAGACATTCACACTAGTGGCCTGCTGGAGGTCATTTTGTAGGGCTCTGGCAGTGCTCATCCTGTTCCTCCTTGCACAAAGGAGCAGATACCGGTCCTCCTGATGGGTTAAGGACCTTCTACGGCCCTGTCCAGCTCTCCTAGAGTAACTGCCTGCCTCCTGGAATCTCCTCCATTGCTCTTGAGCCTGTGCTGGGAGACACAGCAAACCTTCTGGCAATGGCACGTATTGATGTGCCATCCTGGGGGAGTTGGACTGCCTGTGCAACCTCTGTAGGGTCCAGGTATGGCCTCATGTTACCAGTAGTGACACTGACCCTAGCCAAATGCAAAACTAGTGAAAAACCATCAGAAAAGATTAATAGGAAAAAAATGACAGTGGCCTCCACCTGTAAAAAACCATTCCTGTTTTGGGGTTGTCTCATTGTTGCCCATCTAGTGCACCGGTTGTTCATTTCATTGACAAAGAATAATAAAGTGATCACCAAGTGGGATAACTATGTACTCATTCCTAGCACGAGCCTTTAAATAGTGAAGCAGTCCACATGTACAGGAACAAACCAAAGTCCTTTATCCACACAAGCACTGCAAACAGTACACACGAAAAAAGTCCAGTGATCCGTGTCACATTCCTCTTATGCATGCAAATCAAAGGAATGTGTGTGAACCCACACACCCTCGAATGTGATCCAGTAACGGCTAAAATGGCCTCTCACCTCCACCCTGCGACCCTGCAGGGCCACAGCGCTTTTTGTAAAATATATCACCACCGGAACTAGGCTGGGCTCCTCACGATAATGTGACTTGAAGATGTTTCTACAGGACACAGCTTCCACCTCTCCTCCAATATCCTTGCGGGCCAATGAGCCAGATGGATCCCAGCTCAGATCCCCATAAGACAAAAGAAGACATCCTCCATAGTGCAGACCGTTTATTTAAAACATTTAAAAGAGATAAAAAAAAACAAACTCACATGGGCAGAGTTTCATACAGCGTTTTCCCCATATGCTGGGTGTAGGCATAGACCTCAAAGGGTGTTCAAAGATGGCGCCACGCCGGAAGTGCGTCACCACGCTAAGCCGTCGACACGTTGCGTCACGTGACCTCGTGACTTCATCCTAGTTCCGGTGGTGATATATTTTACAAAAAGCGCTGTGGCCCTGCAGGGTCGCAGGGTGGAGGTGAGAGGCCATTTTAGCCGTTACTGGATCACATTCGAGGGTGTGTGGGTTCATACACATTCCTTTGATTTGCATGCATAAGAGGAATGTGACACGGATCACTGGACTTTTTTCGTGTGTACTGTTTGCAGTGCTTGTGTGGATAAAGGACTTTGGTTTGTTCCTGTACATGTGGACTGCTTCAATATTTAAAGGCTCGTGCTAGGAATGAGTACATAGTTATCCCACTTGGTGATCACTTTATTATTCTTTGTCTATGTCTAAGCGCTACATCATTTATTTATATGTATGTGAGAATCACCTGTTCGGTATAGGATTGGATGTTAGCAGCTGCTGAATATTTAGTGTGAGCCAGATATATTTTTTTCACTACTGTCTTACATAAGAGCGCAAGAGGATTTTGTATCTTATTGTTCATTTCATTACCACCAAAGCAGCTGAAACTGATTAACAACCTCCTCTGCGACTTACCTGACCAGATCAATATCCCAAGAGTTTCACTGACTTGATGCTAGACTCGGATTACAAAGTCTTCCTTTCATTTTTTGAGCTGTGTGCAAAGTAAGGACAATTGAGAGAATAAGAGAGTGAGATGAGTGAAATAACAAAATCAGCAGCACTTTTACTTTCATTTTCCTACTATTATATAAAGAATCTTCATTCTCCTTCAGTTTCTGTGAGTTCAGAGATTGAGTCAAGCCAGGTAGTTTCCCTCTGAAGTCTCAGCTATGGCTAGTGGTGAGATGAGAACATATATCCAAGATTTTTCAGCCTTGATAATTGTAAGCATGGTAATCAGGGCTATAGTTGTTTGGTTTAAGCGGTCATGGCAAATCCTCCTTCATCAACTCCTGTAAGTATGTTGTAGACAATGCTCCTTACAAGGTCTATGCAGTGGTTGCTCCAGCAGAAGACAAGCCAGAGACAATGATAAGGAGCTCTTATGAGTTGACTGGAACCATCAAGCTGGTCGATAACCGGGGTTGTGTCAAACTGAATAAGAATGAGACGGGAGAGATATACGCTCAGCTTGGTAAGTACACAATATAATGTCTTAATGTACAGAACTGAAAGAAAGTAGTCTCTGCTTGTATCCAAACAGTAGAATATATATGTGTCTCTGTATAAATGTTTCACATTTCACCAGGGGTGGACTGACCATTCAGGCACTGCCCGAGGGCCTGGGGTTACTAAAGGGCCCCATGAGAAGCTCAGTCTGTCCCTGAGAGAGGGAGAGAGAGAGAGGGGGAAGAGGGGAAAGAGAGGGGGGGGGGAGAGGGGAGAGTGAGAGAGAGGGAGAGAGGGGGAGGGAGAGAGAGAGGGGGGAGAGAGAGATGGGAGAGGGAGAGAGGGAGAGGGAGGGAGATAGGGGGAGAGGGAGAGAGGGGGGAAGAGAGGGAGAGAGAGGGGGAGAAAGAGAGGGAGAGAGAGAGAGAGAGGAGAAGGGGGGAAAAGGACGAGAGAGGGAGGGAGACAGAGAGAGAGGGGGAGGGAGGGGGCAAAAAGAGAGAGGGAAGATAGAGTGGAGAGGGGGGAGGGGAGAGAGAGAGAAGAAGAGGGGGGAGAGGGGGAGAGAGGGAGAGGGAGAGGAGTGGGGGGGAGAGAGAGGGGGAGATAGGGGAGAGAGGGGCTACGAGGAGAGCGGAGGGGGAGAGGGAGGGGGTAAGAGAGGGGGGGGGGGGGGAGGGAGGGAGAGAGAGGGGGGGAGAGAGGGGGGAGGGGAGAGAGAGAGGGGGCGAGGGAGAGAGAGGGGGGAGGGAGAGAGAGGGAGAGATCAAGGGAGAGAGAGGTAGAGAAGGGGGGGAGGTGGAGAGAGGGGGGAGGGAGAGGGGGGTGGAGGAGAGAGG